GAAGACATAAGTCAAATAAAAACACTGGACCTGAGCTACAATACGATAGCTTTTATGGCACGAGGAACACTAAAAAATCTCGCCAAAAATCTCGAACGGCTTAATCTTGAGGAGAACATTTTTCACGCCCTTCCAGAAGCTCTTATAGACCTACGGAACTTGACGCACTTGAATTTGAATGGCAACAAATTGAGCAAGTGAGATATATAAATGAAAGTCCTACTTCCTAGCCAAGAAAAAGCGTCAGAGTTTACAATTTCAGACTGAATGAAGAGATGGTTGATGGACTAAAAGATGCTCTTGTTGAATTGTCGCTTGCCTACAATCGCTTGAAAATGGTTCCAACGAATATTCTGAATGGAATGACCCGTTTACAACACCTCGACCTGTCTAAGAATAATATCAAAAGCTTGCACCGATTGGCTTTCGGGACATTTGACGGGACAGGAACAAGTCTGGTGCATCTGAATTTGGCTGGCAATCAACTAAAAGTCATAGATGATCCCGGAGTTTTTCTCTATATGACTTCACTGGCATATCTTGATCTCTCTTACAATCAGATAGAAGAGATTGAGACCAGAGTATTTGAGAAGTTACCAGGACTGGAAAGACTGTATCTGCAGGTGATATTTCAGTTACACGCAATGGACTCTTTCAAAACTAATATCTTCCACTTTTCAGAACAACAGACTGCAAAGACTGAACCTGCATACGACATTGAAAATGCAAAAGTTACGTCAACTGAACCTAGATAACAACGAGATCAAAGAGCTACCTGATCACCTGCTTAGCTCAACCCCCATCCTTGAGCACTTATCCATAGCAACAAATCAAATTAGCTACATTAACGACAAAGTTTTCCACTCAAGCAGCTCTAAATCGCTGAAATCGTTGAATCTAGCAGGGAATAAGATAAAAAATATATCTAGCAGAGCATTCCAGCTTATGGAAAACCTACAGATTCTAAAGCTGAACAACAATCGCATTCGCACAATAGATACCATGGTAAA